AATCTCACTTTGCAGCATTAGTATTGAAAGGTTTTGCTCTGGCGTAGTTAGAGGAAAGAGAACAAATGATGCATTGAAATGATTGTGCTAGAATGCTGTCAGCGTGAGGTGCACGTGCAGAAGAACCTGCACAGGCACGTACCCAGGTCAGCATAAGAGGTCAGCTCTCATACACCACTTTCGGTCGTGTACAGCACATGCAGACCTGTCGTTCCCTGCACAACTAAGATTCCAGTGGGGGCCGTAGAAGCATCCCCATTCCTGGAAGCTCATTTTGAGAGAGAACGTCCAATCTGTGTCTCCAACTACATTGTCTTGAAAGTAAGGGCAATACAGAGATTACGATAAGTTCAATTCCAGAGCTAACAGATGGGCCCCACTTTCCAGATGAGAAAACAGACCGTAGACTCTGCTGTCTGCAGATAACCCATCTTCTTGTGTTTCCTGTCTTCCCTCAAACCGTCTTGCTTTTTAGAGAACAAATACTGCCAGCAATCTTCTGGAAAATTAAATTCTTCAAGTTACCAATAAGGGACATGGAAGGACTTGAGATTTTACCAGGAACCTTCTTTAATGTTCCAGAAGATGGAACTGAACCCAGCAGCAGGGAAGTCAAGTCAGTCCATGGTTGGTTTGATTAATACCCAGAAACCTCCTTAAGTCAGTTTACCATTTTATTGTGGTTTGAGTGAAAATTTAAAGGAAAAAAAATGGTTTTCCATTCAATAATTCATATATATTTTTTGTTTTGTAACACTGATTTCAACCCCTAATACCCCACTGCCTCCTTGTTTTTAATCCTCTTCATTTATTCATGTTTTTATTAATGTTTCTTTCCGATCCCTCCCCTTCTATGCTTTATCCCGGGGCAAATGCTGCCCTTTTGATCTCAAGTGCTCGAGTGGTGCCTCCTTGGTTCGATTACTCACCTTCTACACCTATCAGTACCATTTCATCATAACCTCTAAGATGGCAGGATTCGGCCACTGAAAATAAGCCTTGTGAGAAGCTGGTGCCTGGTCAGTTCTGGACATTGGGAGAGGGTGGTCACCGCCATAATTCTCCCATGCTGGTTATTGTGTGGACATAATAAAGGTTGGGACGTAAATCAAGGCTGGGATTTCCTGTGAGAACCATGGTTGGGATTCATGTCCTAGTTGGTGGTTGCAACTCTACTATCATCTCAGCACACCGACCACCTCACGCACTGAGCAGGAAATGACTGGGCATTCTTCTGCAAGGGTCCTGGTGGGTTAATGCCTCAGACATTGACATACTAACCAGAAGCTCAGTGGTGCAGCTCCACCCATCAATCCCTGGGCCCAAGGTATGGCAGTCTGGTTTCTTAAAAAGAAACTATTGTTGTTGTTGTTGTGTGACATAGAGTCAGAACCCACCCCCAGCTGACCCACTAGTGGTTTTCAGAGGCAGTAAATGGCATTGGAGATTACCCATCTTTCTCCTGAGAAGCAGCTAGTGGATTTGAAAGAAATGCCTTTGAGTTGAGAGTGTAGCTCTTTCCCCACTAGGCCACCAGAGCTCCCTTAAAGATTGCAGCCTTGGAAACACTTTAGGGCCATTCTGCTCTGTCCTAGAGGGTTCCTATGAGTCACAATCCACACAATAGTAGCATATTGGTTTTCACTCCTACAATAATAAATTTACTATCACGTAGTGAGTCTGGCTACATTTTCAACATGGTATTAATCACTTTCATATATCACATAATCCTTCAAATAGGGAGTTCGGGTAACCTAGAGGTAAGGAGCTGCTCTGCCATTCCAAAGGCACGTGGTGTTCCATGGGAGAAAGATGGGCAATCTGTCATGTGATTTACTTCCTCTGAGAACCCACTAGAGGGTTGACTGTGAGTTGGTTCCAACGTGATGGTCCTCAATAACAACCATCCTTGAAATAACCCGACGATGTATCTGTTATTCCTGTGTTACAGAGGAGGGAAGGAGGCCTGGCCTGGCCTGTGGCTCAGGGAATGTATCAGTACCTGGTCCTGCATTAAGTCCCAGAATGAGCATGGCAGCATTTGCACGCAACCAAGAGCCAGGTCCTACACCGTGAGTGACGGCGTAAACTGCCTCCTCTCCTGCAAAAGACAGTGGCCATTAAGCAACCACAGAAATTAAGTTAAAAAGTGCAATCCAATTAATAGGTCATTATTGAATGCCAGCCCTGTGTGCTGCAACACTCAGAGCAAAATAAGACAATTAAACATTATTCCCCTATTTCCACTGTTCTTACAACCTTAGCTTCCAAAAGGGTCCTTTCAAAGGCAGAGGAAGAAAACCAACAAAGCTGTGTCAATTACTTACTCATCATCCACTTCTGCAAGAAATTATCCACCAATTACCTTGGTATTGCACAGATGGAATTTAGCAAAAAGGGGGAAAATGCAAACAGGTTACAGATTTTAATTGGATGGCCACTCTTTGTTTATTCAGCCTTAAGTCTAAACTAGCTACAAAAACAGAAACCTTGTCCTCCTGAAAGACAACTGGCCGCCAACAGCGTGAGTTCCACGTACAGAAACAAGACTGTTATCAATGTGGAGTCATTGTATTTCATCTAAGCAGATTCTTGCTTATAATCCACCTCATGCATGTGAAAACTGGACAGTGGAAAAGTGAACAAGAATCACTGCCTTTGAATTGGCTTTGGCAAAGGATATTACCATGGACTTCCAAGAAAACAAATAAATCTGTCTTGGAAAACCTGCAGCTAGAAAAGATGGGGACTGTCTCACATCCTGCGGACGTGTTATGAGAAGGGGCTGGTCCCTGAAGAAAGATGCCGTGCTTGGTAAAACTCAAGTCACTTTAAAAAGAAGACCCTCAGCAGAACTGATTGAGTAACTACGACAAGGCACTCACACATTGCATCCTTGTGAGGTTGGTGTCAAACTGGAGAGTGTTTTGTTCTGCTGCACCTACGAATCAGAACAGACTTGATGCTAACAACAGAGGAGATAGGAAAACTTCTGAGTTTCTGGTCCTGAGATTCAGTTCACTCTTCTTTCAATCCATGAATCAGTATGAATGTGAACTTGTCAGACAATCGATCAGTGCCAGTTCTGTGCTGAAATGATCTTCCATTTCCTTCTGTAACCTCTTTACCTACAGCACATTCACATTCCCGCCTGGGAAGCCCTTGCCCTCTTGACGGAGTCTACCCTCATGTTGGCGATGGCAGGTTCTCCTTCTCACACAAACGGCTTCCTGGCACACACACGCGGACAGCAGTTTGCTGCCAAGAGAGTTGACATAATCCAATGAGTAGAACCACTTCTGATGGGATGTTTGTAGATAAACATACAGGCAAGGTTTTCTTAAAAATTATGGGTAAAAGGAGTTCAGTTCTATTCTGAGGCCAGAGATAAAAAATAGTGATTATAAATTATTAACATCATCAACAAAGCTTCCTTTGTCTAATTTTAGAATTTGTAAAATTCGCAATGCTAAGATTGATGATGCATTGGTTTGAGAATGATGCGTGTGAGAGACGAGACATATGAATGTCATTCTTGCTGAGTACCATAGAGTTGGAACAGACGCACAGCTGACCCTCTCGTAGGATTTCAGAGGCAGTTAATTGCGTGGGAGGAGATTGTTCATCCTTCTCCCATGGAGCAGCCTTGAACTGCGAGCCTTTGGAATTGCAGTGCAGCTTCTTGCCACTATGCCACCTGAGCTCCCTGCATATGAATAGGCATTAAATAGACAGGGGTGTTGTATGGCTCCCTTTACACAACAAAACAACATCATGGCTTGGGAATGGAGTGAGTGCATCTGGATAGCTTCAGTCACATCCCTTGGTTTCTTCTTCTAAAGCCCACCATTGAAGACAACCTTCCAGCAAATGAGTTCTTGCTCGGTAAGAGATAAAAAGGAATAACAGCAGTGCTCACAAAAATGGGAACATGCTGGCAAACCCCCCAGAAATCATGATAAGATGCAGATCTCAGTCCCACCAGGCTAATGTTTCCATCTCCCGGGTGATGTCCAAGATGCTGGTCTGTGGGCCACACTTTGATCATCAAAGCCTCGGGCTTCTCCGTGTACAGTAAGGCCTCAGCTGGAACCAAGTCCTGGCGTGGAGATGATGACCCAGCGATAGAGGGGCAGATCGGAGAATATGCTCAGAGTTATATGGTTAGAACATATCAGTACAAGCAGCTTCTGTAGCTGGGTGATTCTGACAAGTGTGTCTGCTTCTGGTTCGTTCTCTCTCCTCCTGTGGCTAGCCCTCTCATGGGCACCCATTTCTCATTCCCCTATGATCTTGCTGTCTGATATTTCACATTTATAATAATGGTAAAAGAATTGTTATCAGACTCTTGTACATAAATGCTGTATGTCCAATAAAAGTGAACACAGAGTGCCAGAAAAGAGTAAGACCGGCTGGGATTTCAAGTCTGTGTCAGCTTAGCTGGCCATGATTCTCAGGGCTTTCGCAGTCAAGCAATGGTGTGAAGTGACCACTCTCTAGTGATATAGGTGTCCTCCTTTCTATAGTCTGATGTGATCCTCTTCTGTTTTCCCATCATGCTGACTCATTTTTGCAAAATAACCTGGTCATTGAAACCTATCCATACCAACAAGTGCAAAGTAGGCAGTGATGGAAAAATGAATATTAGAAAAGGTGTTTCTACTGGTGGAGTAAAGTTGGCCAGCAATGAATGTCATCGAAAACCAGTAGAACCTTCTACACATAGTCTTTTCTTCTTCATCTCTTCCTCCTCCTAATTTTTCTTTTTAGCATCTTCACATCAGGAAAGCAGCATCTTTTAATTGAAACTTCTCTGTAGTATTTCCCTTGGAGGCATCCCTGTGATGGGCTTACAGCCCCACGGCTTCTCTGCAAGGAACCCCGCAGAAACACTGCTGCTTTCTTGGGAAGGGTGGATAGACTCTAGAAATCCTACAGAACACAGAATCCATTACAGAAAGCATTTGGTATGAATAAAAATGTGTGGCGTATATGCAACGATGCGTAAGCATTCTTTCAGGAAAAGTCGAGAGCTAGCTAAAAAAGGAGATGGAAACATTGACAGTGGCTTTCACAGTGGTGCCCAGCACACGGTGACTGAGGCTGGCGCAGGACCAGAACGTGCTTTGTTCTGTGGTTCTTGGGGAAGCTCTGAGGTGGAAGCCCTCAATGCACCAACAACAGCAACATTTCTTTGTCTGAAAAATGCCTCATGTTGGATTTTTCACAGAGGAATGTAGATGTCAACATTTCTTTTTTCTCTTTCCCTAACTATAAAAAAAATTAGCATGAAGGTGAAGTTTTCAGTGACCAGTCACCCAGGGACAGGTAAACAATTTGGTTAAAAATGTGTACATTGATTTTATTAATTGGAAACTTCAGACCAGTATTTTATGAACATCTCCAGCTGCAAACACTCGATGATGACATTGTACACGGCCTCTGAAAGCTGACAGCCCGGCTTGGAGCCATTTCCAAAGGACAGACTGCCCGAGCATGGGCAGATTTACACTCCATTTTAAAGTAGCAAATACTTTATAAATCTCAAACTTGCAAAGCCACAGATTGAGCTCATTAGTTCAACTTTGGCAATGCCCACATTTTATCCACAAAATACATACACACAAAAAGAAGCTAAAATAGAATGTAACACATTATTGACCTTATGCAAATGAGTATTGATATAAGATTCAGTCAGCACGTGAAAGACCTAGAAAAGTGAAGAATTCCATACTCTACTTTTTAATCTTAATTTAACAACATATTTTTATTCATAATCCTGTTTTTTCCCTAATTCATTAGCAAAGGCTCGTGTGTCTTTAACATCTTCAAATACATGTGCTTCAGAAAAGTTTGTCTTTTAAAATCCCCTTATATCTCAGAAGACATGAACGTCAAAGGTTCCAACTTTACCTCAATATTGAATTTGTATGTTAATGAAAATAATTTTTTTTCTTTCCTGTGCTAATTTGTGTAGAAATCATGTGCTTTCTCCCTCTTCTCTTTAGGATTAAAATTTCTGTTTTCTTTTCCAGGAAGAAAATACCTCATCAAAACCAAAATATAAAGTCTGAGAAATAGCTCAACTGGACCAAACACTATAGGAAAGCCATAAATCAGAGGCCACCGTAAATCAGTCACGCCACTCAAATTCACATTGTAATTTATTTTTTAAAGAATTTACAACTATTCAAGCTTCACTATTTATTAGGTGGGGGGGGACCCTGAGTGAAGTATTTATGTCTTATTAATTCTTTTTATAACCTATGATGTAGACAACTCTTAACATATAAACAGACTCAGCGGCATTCTCCAAACTAGAAGTCCGTGTGGACTCAGCCACCGGCTGGGCAGACCTGAAGCTTTTACTGCTCCTTCCAAACTCGAGTTTACTGATTCCACTGAGAAGTACAGCTGGGTACTGGGTAGACCAGCAGCCTGAGAGTCAGCCAAGGTCTAGTGCAGCCTTGTTGTTAAATGTCGTCACGTCATAGATGACTCATCGCGACCCTATGAACAAAAGACCTGAACCCTTGTATAACTTTCATCCTTTCTCCAGGTTCATAGGGTTTCCAGAGGCAAGCTATTTCAGAACTGGATGCCATTCCTGCTTCCAAGCTTGTTTTACTCAGGGAGCTCCACCAAACACTGTCCACCGTGGGTAACCATTCTCGCATTTGACACATCAGTGTCACAGTGTTGAGCATCATAGCAACCCCAAGTTACCTCTGTACGGCAAATGGACAGACCACTGCTATACCACCTAAAAGAACGTTTGACTAAAAACAATGTAAACCAGGCCTGAGGGCCACAGATTAAAATCTCTCCCCTTTGGCTTGGTAGCCTCACTTTCTATCCACCAGGCCCACAGCGCTGTATGTTGTTGCCTTATTCGCAGATAAAATGTTACACAGAGAACTCAGAAACCTGCATGATCGTTTATACTTGGTGTTGTTATTATTAACACTAGTAGTAATAGTATCACCTCCCATGAGTGAAGTCCTGCCATGGTTCTGAAGCTGTAAATCTTTGTAAGAGGAGACTGAATATCTTTCCTCTGTAGAGCAGCTGGTGGGTTTGAACCACCAACCCTTATGATAACAACATCACACAGTATGTTGTTGTTGTTGTTGTGTGCCGTCAAGTAGAAACTGATGCAGAGTTGATGCTCCGGTGAGTTTTCAGAGGCAGTTAATCGCATGGGAGGAGATTGCCTGCCTATCCTCCCACGGAGCAGCTGGTGGATTTGAACCACATTCCTTCAGAATTGCTGAGCAGCTTCTTACCACTAGGCCACCACTTATTATTGTGACAGTTGCATTGTAAAAAACCCGGCCTACAGTCGTTTCTCTTCTCTTAAGGAGAAGATGCTGTCAGCTGGTTCTGTCCTCTAGGCCCTGTGGGTAACAGAGCAAGATGCTGTTTGGCCTGAACCTTCCTCGCAGCACTGAGCCCTTTGCTGTAACCGTCACTCCATCCGGATGAGGGTCGGTCTTTGTTTTCCATAATGACCTTTATCAAATGTAATGTATTTTTCCAAGGTCTGATTCCTCTGGTGGTTCTGTGCCTAAATGTTGTGTTGATAACCAAAGGTCAGCAGTTCAAATCCACGCAGTAGAACTTAACGATACTGTTCCCAAGGGTTCAAGTCTTGCCGGAAGTGGATTACCTCACCTTTCTCCTGAGCAGTGCCTGGTGCGTCCACACTCCTGACCTTTTAGTTAATAGCACAATGCCTAGCCCACCGTGACACCAGAACTCCTGTCTGTAAAGATTAGCCATTGTCTTTCCACCTGGCTGTTCAGCTTGGAGATGGTCATAGGCAGCCCAGCGAAGTCACACTTCCACAAAGACAAGCAGTGGTGCATGGCCACATGTTTCAACCAGCAGCCTGGAAAGTCCAGATGTGAGGCCAGCCGGGTGAAAGGGTGAAAGGGCTGCATCACCCCAGGCCCCACAGTGTGGTATCACACCCAAGTGCAAGCCGGCAGGGGCTTCGGCCTGGAAGAGCTCAGCGTGGCCATCATCCACCAGTAAGTGGCTCAGACCATGGGAGCCTCTGTGGACCCTCGGAGGAGGAACAAGTCCACTGAGCCCTTGCAGGCCAACGTGCAGTGGCTGACGGAGCATCACTCCAGGCTCGGCCTCTTTCCACAGAAGCCTTCTGCCCCCAGGAAGGGAGACAGTTCTGCTGAGGAGGTCAAACTGGCCACTCAGCCAGCAGGACAACTGATGCCCATCCAGAACTTGGACAAGGAGAAAGCCCAGGTCATCAGGCAGGAAGAGAAGGACTCCAAGGCCTTTGTTAGTCTCTGCACAGCCGGTGCCCATGGAATCCGAGCCCAGAGGGGCAAGGGGGCCACAGAGCAGGATGTGGAGAAGAAAAAGCAGGCTGATGCTACAGACCTTTAACAAAAGCCATGAAGCCTCCTCCCCACCATACCCCTGCTCCCGAAGAAAAGGGAGGAAAAAAGATGATAATTGTCACTGAGTCAGCGCCAACTCATGCAGCCCTCGAGAGGAGACTGCCCATCGTTTCCCTGCTGAGTAGCCGGGGGATTTGAACCATTGACCTTTAGTTTAGCAGCCTGACATGTAAAGATTAAAATCCAGGAAATGCTATGGGGAAGTCCTACTCTTTGTGTGTGATCACCAGGAGCTGGCATCAACTCTGAGGCAACTAACAGCAACAATATATTTATCATCAGAGACAGGGATGTGTCCAAGACCTCGGGGTACCATGAAGTTCATAGGTGTTGCTCATTCATCTCTTATTGATCCTAGTCCACACCACTGTCTGTCAGAGATTCAACAAATCGTTTGAGCCTTGGAACCATAGCCAGTGCTAAATTTTAGCATAGACTCCGAGAGTGTCAGATGCAGACATAAATTGAAATGGTCCATGAGAAAGGGTGAAGGGGGAAGGATGGGAAGAGGCCTGGGGAGTGAGGAGGAGGTCCAGGCGCTTTCATCCTCTGTGATCCTGGAAGTGTGCTCTGCAGCCCTCAGGAATGGAGCTTTCTGAACACCCGCGGCCTGACATCAGTAAGCGGCCTCCTGACTCTTGTGAGTCACATGCAGAGTGACGGCTCTCGTGGTTCTCAGTCTATGTCCCGGGCTGTGATTCCAATCTAAGGCTGTTAACTTCCCATTAGCTTGGAAACTTCCACAGAGCTTGGAAACGTGGTGAAGAGGAGCCTTGGGTTGACACAGTGGATTGACACGGTGGCTGTGTCCATCCGTGGGTTCAAGAACAGCATCAATCATGAGGACGGCGATGAGCTGGCAACCTCCTGATCTGCAGTACAGAGGGTCAACGTGGCCACAAGCTGCTGAAGCCAGGCTAAAAAAGTCCTGGTAGTGCCAGCGGCTAACTCACCTGACTGCTAACCTACAGACTGGTGGATCAAACCCACTAACCGTCCCGGGGAGAAAGAAGAGGTACAGACCACAACCTCAGCAAACTGAGAGGGCAGGACTGCCCCATAGGCCCCTTGGAAGCTAATGTCTCAATGGCTGTGGGTGCAGATTCTTTGATTTGGTGAAATCTCTATTTTCTAAAAAGGTTGCAGGAAATGGATGACCAGGCGTATAGTGGGCCTCCAAAGCTTGTGAATCTTGACATCACCTTGGCTTCCACAGCGGAGAAGACATTTGGATGCCAAATCTGTGATCTCCTCTCCTTCTCTTGCTTCAATGTTCCCCTCTGGAGAGTGGGAGAGCTCATCTGTGTGTGAAGGGGTTTCAAGTGTCCTTACACACATGAACTCTCACCATGTCCAGCAACTACGTCTGGATTTAGACAATACTGCTTGGAAAATGGCAATTACTCTTGGGGAGGGGGAGGGTAGAATTATTAACTCTTGTGAAAATGGAAACGTCTTCTATTTTGTTAAACAGCTGGACAGAAGGTGCTTTTTCTAACTTTTCCAGCACTGCCCAAACAACACATTATAAACCAGTAACAGCTAGCCACTCCCTCTCCCTGGAGATATGGTTGTAAGGGCCATTAGAACCATTATCTCCCCCACAGATAACTCTCAAAAATTTAGCACAACACATCTACAAAAATCTCTCCCGGGGGAGGGAGTGGTTGACAGAGAAGCCAGTGATATTTGTGTAAAAATGTGGTATTTCAGAAACAAGATTTTGTTGTTTGTTTTTAAGCCGGAAGCGTTTGGAAAATCTCAATTATCTGAAATATGACCATTCCCTAGGTTTTTCATTATACTAAGAAAACTCCACAAGACATCAACAGTTCGAGAAAAAGGGCTGGTGTGGACACACTGTGGCTGGTTCTACTCCCTCCCTACCCTGCAGAATCTCTGTGTAAAGTCAACCTGGCGGCTATGCTCCTAACAGAAGAAAGTGCTGAAGCCATGACCAAGAGATCGGGCTCACTGTTATCATCGCATTCTAAACATGTGTGCAAGCCTACACGTAGACCACAACACTGCTGTGTGAACAGAGGAAGGGGACACTGCATGGTTTAAAATCTAGAAGGTCATGAATCAGAGTTCTACCCTTCCTCCCCCCATATTCAATCTATATACTGAGATGACCATTCAAGAAGAACCATTATATGTTTCATCATAACCATTTATGAAGAAGATTGTGGCATCAGGATTGAAGGAAGATTCCTCACCAACCTGCATTACAAAGATGACACACCCTTACTTGCTGAAAGTGAAGAGGGTTTGAAGTACTTACTGCAGAAGATCAAAGAACACAGTCGACAAAAAGCATTATATTTCAACATTAAGAAAATAAAAATCCTCAGAGGTCCAATAGGCAATATCATGATAGAGAAAAGATGGAAGTTGTTAACAATTATATCCTACTTAAATGTGTCATCAACACCTTTGGCACCAGTAGTCAAGACTCAAAAGACATGTTGTATTGGAGAAAATCTGTTGGCAAGGACCTCTTCAAGGTACTAAGGAGCAGCAATGTCAGCTTAAAGACTAAGGTGCACCTGACTCAAGCCATGGTCTTTTCAGTGATTGCCTATGCATGTGAGAGATAGACAATGATTAAGGATGAGAGAGAACTGATGTCTCTGAGGTGCGGTATTAGAGAAAATAACTGAATACTGCATGAACTGCCCAAAGAACAAACAAATCTGTCTTGGAGAAGGCACCGGAGCACTCCTTAGAGGCAAGGATACTCTTCACCTCACATATTTGAGGCATGTTGTTAGGAGGGAGCAGACCTTGGAAAAAGACATCATTCTTGGCAAGGTAGGTCATGAAGGAGCGAGACGGTGAAAGTCCCTAAATAAGATAGCTTGACACAGTAACTATATCAATGAGCTCGAGCGTATCAGAGATGATGAGGACAGCATCAGGAAGGGCCAGGACAGGACCAGGACAGGGCCAGGTAAGGCCAGGGCAGGGCCAAGGTAGGGCTAGGACAGGGCTAGGGCAGGGCCAGATAGGACCAAAGTAGGGCCAGGGCAGGGCCAGGGCAGGGCCAGGGTAGGGCCAGGATAGGGCCAGGGCAGGGTCAGGTAGGGCCAGGGCAAGACAGCCACAAGTTTGAGGAGAGTTTGGTTTGCTGTGTGGACTATACCTCAATATAAAGAAAACAAAACTCCCTACAACAGTACAAATAAGCAGCATCGTGATAAACAGAGAAACGATTGAAGCTACAAAAGGCTTTCTTTTACAAGGATCCATAGCCGATGACCACAGCAGCAGTGGTCAAGAAATCAAAGACATTTTGTCTTGGGCAAATTAGCTGCCATTAACTGTTTTAAAGTATAGAAGACCAAGGCTGTCACTTGGTGTGTGTCTGATTCAATCCAGGATATTTTCAATCAGCCCATGTGGCTATGAAAATATAACAAGGAAATAAGGAAAACTGAGAAAGAACTGATGTTTTTTAATTGTGGTGTTGACTAAGTATATTAAATATACCAGGGACTGATGAACTAAAAAAAGCCCATATTGCTATTATATTGGAACTGACTCATAGCAGACCCTCCATTGGGTATCTGAGCCTATAAATTGCATGGGAGTAGACTGCTCATCTTTCTCCTGAGAAGCCCGTGGTAGATTTGAACCACTGACATCTCAGCCTCTGGGTTGGCATTAACTCCCTGCGGACAACACTCCCTTCGGGGCTGCAGTGCAGCTTCTTGCCACTAGGCCACCAGAGCTCCCTGTCTGTCTGCATACTTACATCAGTCTCTCTGTCTCTCTCTGAGATTAGATTGAAAGGCCCTCTAATTCAGCGAGAGCATTCTCAAAGAGAGCATGTTCTGGTACCTTTGTAGTACGGAGTCATGCCGCACTGCCAACCCAGCACTGCCAAACCAAAGGTGCACCGTTCAAATATACCAGCTGTTCCTCAGAAAAGAGGTGGACAATCCCCTCCTGTGCAATTTACAGCCTCTGAAAATCCTCTAGAGCATCAGCTAAGAGTTGATTCCAGTCACTGGCACACAAACAACGTAGGTATGTTTCACTACAGTACATATCACGCAGCTTTGCAGTCAAGTAATAATGCTGTTGATCCAAAGGCATGACGTTCAAATCCAGCGGCTGCTCCACAGGAGAAAACCAGCAATTTCCTAGAGTCCAATTCACAGACTCTGAAAATCTGCTGGAGGAGTCAGCTACGAGTCAGTTCTAATACAGGAGCACTTAATAACGACATACACACACACCCTCTTATTTGGGGGGTATATAGTGATCAAAGAGATTTGAAATGCTGACGTAAAGCTAAAGGGTAATAACTAAGCATATTTATTACTATTGCACATAGTAAAACAGCAAATGTCTTTGTAGGGTAGATATTTTGGAACAATAATTCAGCAAATGCCAAGCTCCACAATGACTGTTCTCTTACGATAAATGAGTAAGTGAAGTGAGGAAGTGAGTGGTAATAGAGCGTGAGGCTGACCCGTCCCAAGTACTCCCTGTAAATAATATACGCCTTCTTGGTATTTATTAAAATATGTTCCATATGCTGTATAAACAAGTATATGCTATTCGTCTCTATAAATAACAGTATATGCTATTCATCTCTATAAATAACATTTGTTTAAATAAAAAAGGAAGTAAAATAAAGAACCTACTTGTTTATTTCGCATGAATTAAAGAGAGTGAAGGAAGGAATTGTCTTAAAGTACTTGCTTTTGCTGCGGACAGTCTCCCACATTTTTCTGATTTATTAAGACATTCCCAGTGACAAGTTTGGGGATATTTCTAGACTCACATAAGGCCTCAGGAACACCAAGAGGAACCGAGGAGAAACTTAAAAGCAGTGTCCAAACAAAACAAGGTGGGTTGTGTTTTTTTTTAATCTATGGACATACACAAAACATGTGCTAGTATCTGTTTTAATAATCATTCTGGAAAGTTTCCGTTTTTGTTGTCTTGAAAAATTTTTTTTCACTATCCTTGTAT